CTCTACACACATAGGTATGCTGTAGGGTTACATAGGTATGCTGTAGGGGTACTTATGTATGCTGTAGGGTTACTTAGGTATGCTGTAGGGTTACTTAGGTATGCTGTAGGGTTAGATAGGTTTGCTGTAGCGGTACTTAGGTATGCTGTAGGGTACTTAAGTATGCTGTAGGGTTACTTAGGTATGCTGTAGGGTTACATAGATTTGCTGTAGGGTTACTTAGGTATGCTGTAGGATTACTTAGGTATGCTGTATTGTTACGTATGTATGCTGTATTGTTACTTAATTATGCTGTAAGGTTACTTAGGTATGCTGTATTGTTACTTAGGTTTGCTGTAGGGTTTACGGGGTCACTGATTTGGTTTAATGGTATACACAACAGAATACACTCCCCAACGGTGCGTTCTAATACTTATAAACACTTGTCAGTTTTAACACACAGCACACACCCAGTGCATGCACACGGCCACGCCAAACCATATACTCCTACACCCATCAGCAAATCTATTACACACACACATCGAACCGTACACATAGTAAGAATACACACACATATACATAAAAAGGCACGCAGACTAGGTGAAGTTCAGGAATAACATTTGTACAAATATCCTTCATTTCATACCCATTCACATGTTCAAGCACGGACCATGAGGTCACATTAAGTGTTCCTAAAGCATACCACAATAATACAACGAACGTCCCTATTCTATGGTATAGTAAGTGTACTATATCGCACATTAAAATACATAGTATACGGCAATAGAAAGTGTACTATACAGCCCATTGAAGTGCATAGTATACGGCAATAGGAAGTGTACTATACAGTCCATTGAAGTACATGGTATACGGTGAATACTCACCTTCTGCGACCGTGTGATGCGTGGTACCAAGCTTGTACACAACACCGTAGCGCCCTTCTCCACGCACTTGTCCAACGCAAGGGCATTGGTTGCCGGTTGGAAGAAGGCGATGAGTACCTGATGTGCACGGATATCGTACGTGGGACAAGTTTACAATGGTCATGGATAGGCAAGACATGGGAAGAACGGTGCAATGGTCATGGATAGGCAAGATTGGAACGCGTGATTGATGAATTGGTCGGTTGTCAGGTGAACGTTTACATACTCGGATGGTAGTTCATGGTATTGATGGTGTATCTGGTCGATAGTACTAGTGTATCTGATCAATGGGTGTTAGTGGATCTAGGAACAGCAAGTGTGATAACGCCGCATGGATAACAAAATAGGTCAGGAATACCCGGCCCGGATATAAACGGGTAGCATCCACATAGACACAGAGCAAGAGAAATGAGTACATGTACTATACATAAATACAATCTATGTACTATACATGAATTCAATGATATACTCTATGAACTATACATAAATTTATGTACTATACATCAATACAATCCACCACGGAAAACAAGGTGAAGACGTAGATGTATTAACTGATAAGCCGTGTTTCGCCCTACCAGACATGTGCAGTATGACTGGCCTGCACTCAAGTGGTTGCATGCACATACATACATATAATACGAGACGCAGCACAAAACAACAGTATAGTGTCATCGTTGCAGCATGACTGGCCTGCATTCAGGTGGTCGCATGTACGTTCACACATATAATACAGCAGTACAGTGTTATACCGTGCACATCATATACTATAGTCTATACCACACGCCACATAAATACCACACGCCACATGCAGCATGACTGGCCTGCACTCAGATGGTCCCATGCACATACATACATATAATATAGCAGTACAGTGTGATACCGTGCACGTCATATACTATAGTCATATACTATATACCACACGCCACATAAATACCACACGCCACATGCAGCATGACTGGCCTGCACTGCACATACATACATATAATATAGCAGTACAGTGTGATACCGTGCACATCATATACTATAGTCATATACTATATACCACACGCCACATAAATACCACACGCCACATCCCTGCCTACCTGGCCCTGGCTCAAGTGGTCGCATTCGTGACCATTGCCGTCAGCGATTGCCATGGGAGGGTTTACCTTAGCAACAATATCCGATCGCGCGTACAACTAGCACAGTTGGAAGTATGTATCATATGTATGTATTTCAATTAAAAGTATGTATCATATGTATATATTTCAATTAGAAGTATGTATCATATGTATGTATTTCAATCAACATTAGTGAGTGTGCACATGAGCAGTGTAGTTACGTCTACTGAGTCAGACGGGTAGCTTATGCGCTCAGGACTGTCGTTTCAATAAGCAATACACATGGATCCGCTGCGGTTGAAAGGGGATACAGAAGTTCAAGCCGGGGTGTCTACATGCTTGGTTGTGTGCATGCACTTGTCAGATACTTTGGTGCGTGTCTATGATCAAATGTACTAGTGTAGAGAGGTGTGTGTGTAATTAGGGATATGTACTATTTAGCCATGCACTTGTAAGATACTTTGGTGCGTGTGTGTAATTAGGGATATGTATTATTTAGCCACGCACTTGTCACATACTTTGGTG